AAACCCGCCAGAAACAAAAGAAAAACATTCAGATCAGCGTAAGAACACAAACGCGTTTAGTCTTAACGTGGCCCAAAAGAATGGCGAATCCGCATAAGAACAACAGCACGACGTTTCTCAAGATATATGCATTTCGCAGCAAAACGACGCGTTTCCATAGGCAAACGTCGAAAACATTTCACAGCACAACATCGCGTCACAGCATAGCAGAACGACGCACCTTACCGCTGAATGACGCATCCCATAGCCGAAAACGCATCCTTCAGCAGAGCAACGCATGCCGTGGCACAACGACTCACCCCTTTCGATATGCACTGAAGACAACAACCAAAACTTCAAAATCATTGTTAAAAACAATCTCGTATATATATATATATATATATATATATATATATATAATCGCACAGCAGAACGACGTGTCTCAATCAGAACGATAGAACAAATTCCACAGCAGAACGACACACCCCGCAGCAGTGCGACGCATCCCCATCGACGCACGCGTGCGATCAGGTTTCCAAATCTGCCGCGACGTAGACACGCATCAGCTTCCAACGGCGCTTCAGCGCCGCACGCAGAACTGCATGTCCTCACCACTGATCGGGATGCTCCCATGTGCGGTATCTATTGCTCTGCCTGTGTGCTCTCCTGCTCTCTGTCCCGCCTTTAGGTCAGGGCCGAGCACGACCTGGGCACGGCACCGCGATCACGCGCCTGCGGCACCAAGTGTTGCAGGAAAACACTGGCCGGGTGACGCTCGCTTCTGGCCAGTGGCTGGGCGAAGAATTGCACGACACCACCCACAGCAGGACGGCAGCCTCTGTCCTCCGCACCTCCACCACCGTCATCTCCTCCGCCTCCACAGTAAAGCGGTCTTCTGACCAGGCCATTAGCCTCGGCTGCCGGTAGTTGTCCTCGATATCTCGGAACAAGCCATCGCACAGCGTCGAGATGTCCATAGCAACGGATCTAAGGAAAACCTCAACGGCGAGCTGTTAAAAGCTGGATGAGTAATAAAAGCTGGAAATAATATTCAGATGCACTCTAGCTCAGATATGCAAAAAACATATCGGGATGCTCCCATGTGCGGTATCTATTGCTCTGCCTGTGTGCTCTCCTGCTCTCTGTCCCGCCTTTAGGTCAGGGCCGAGCACGACCTGGGCACGGCACCGCGATCAAATTGTTGGCTATAAGGGCCACAACCATGACTGGACGCTTGCGGGGGGGGGGGGGGGTGAGAATACCGACGCTCGGCGTTGCATTCTCCACTGGGTGCTCAGTGTTGGCCTTGCAGCTAGCACATGACTGTGGTCAACGGGTGAGCAAAAACGACCGCGCACCGGAAAATGGTGCTCTCAAACGTTCTAAGAAATCAACTCGCATGAGTGTAAGATATATCCCATGTGGTGGATTTTACTAGTGTGACATTCACCTCGATGCTCAGGACGGATTAGCGCGTACGGCACCACAAACTCATGACGTAATGGCATAATATATATTACGCGTGTTACTGAAACTAATCTTTTCAAGAATCAGGCTCGAAAGTTCACGGTTGATCCCTGGCTGATCTGGAGACCCTCAGAGAGAGGCATCATGCACTGCGCGGGTCCCCTCCCTGGTTCGACAGGTCTTCCGACCGAGGCACCTGGCACCGGATAAACTCAGCGGCCCTCACCGGCACAAAAGGATCAGCCGCCGGCGTAGGGAGTCCAAGAGTGGCAAGGGGACACCAAGTCGGCCTGTCGACCCCTGGGTGAAACAGCAGGGAGGGCCCTCGTTCAGTACTGGGACCTCCGACTGACTCAGGGACTTTCCTCTATCTCGTTGCAAAAGTGAATCCTTGCATCGTCGCATATCTCTTCGTTGTGGAACGGTCCCGAATGAACTCAAGAGGCGTTTTGACATTTGGGGTTCCGTAGCTGTTCCTGCTCAGAAAATGTGCCCCTGGCCGTCTTTGGGCCCGTTGTCGACAGAGGGTCCCCCTGTCAGGCACTGTGGTTCCCTGACCAGCCCAGGGGGCCTTCACTATTTCGGAGGCCCTACCAAGGCAAGGGGCCTTCTGATTGACATTTGCAAGCCTGCTCTTGCCCCTGCTTGGGAAAGGGCCTCCTAGGTCCTAGAACAGGCACGGAACCAACTAGTTCGGTATTGATGGTCAGCCAGCTGGTATAGGACCCGCACTGTCTCAGGAGCAATGAGCATGAGCAGGTCTCAAGCACTGTCCTGATCGGTGCAAGAAGCCCTGTGACTGACATGCTAGGGTCAGGTCTCCGGGCTGGCCTCCCTGGGATATACCCTCTGACCCACCCTTCTGACCCTCCAATCGTGGCCGTTGTCGTGGCCCCGTGAGCCTTCGTATCTGGTCCTTCTTGGAAAAAGAAAGACTTTGGTCTTTTTGTGGCGCCCCTGGAATTTGTCTTCACTTGGAAATGAGGGTTTCACAGCCCTTTGTGGTGCCTCTGGGATTGGTGCCTCCTGCAAATTGAGTTCATGATGCCCCAAAAAGAAAGGCCTTTGGTGCCGTCGGTCGAGAGGGCTGGTCCAGAATTTCGTGAGGGTGGAAGACAAAGAAATTGTGGTGCCCCCCTATATCTGGTGCCACCTGAAACTAAGGCCCCGGGGCCCTTTGAATCATCCACTTAAATGGGGTGCCCTTAGAGAACGATGTTATGGTGCCTCGAAATCTATGTTTTGGCGTTCCTTCGCCGAATGGCCGTGCAAGAATTGTGTCCATGGAAAGGCACGGGCATTATGGTGCCCGCTGGAATTTGCTGCCCGTTGAAAATGAAGACCCTGGGGCCGTTTGTGCTGCCAACTGGAAATAGATATTTCTTCGCAATAAAGGTTAGAATGCCCCGAAATGAATGTTTTGGGCTCCATACACCAACCGGACAAATCCAGAACTTTGCCAAGATGAACGGTAAAGCAACTGTGGTGTACTGGATTGTATTTCCCTTGTTAGATAAAGGCACTGGGCTCTTTAAATGCCCCGCTTTGATTTAGTGCCTTTTGAAAATAGCGGTTGTGGTACCCAGAAATGAATGCTTTGGTGCCAGGCCAACATGACATTTTGGTGCTCTCTCGAAGCACCAAAACCTGGTGGGGCCTAAGGGGGGCGGCGTGGCCCCATGACCCCTCTGGACCTGCCCCTGCAAATAATTATATCAGTGCCCTTGTGCAGAGTCTTTAATGACGCAGAATAAATATTAATGTGTGGAGAGGACAGAATGGAACTGACTGAGAAAAGAATGGAGAAAATTCCAGGGCTGGGTTGGTGAGAGCCCCAGGGCTGGGTTGGTGAGAGCCCCAGGGCTGGGTTGGTGAGAGCCCCAGGGCCCCGTATCCGCTTTCGCTGATCTTCGAGCCATAGTACGCCCAACTCCGCGAATATCTCGAGCATGAAATGAAAGGTGCAAGATTCTAAAGCCATGGCCAAGAAGTTATTTCCAACAACAGAAATCACAGGGAGTTTCGGGACAAAGGCATATTAAAGACACGACTTACCTACCTGCCTGTAAGACGGTTTTCTCTTAGCATGACACCTCATGTAAATGATGCTTTTTGATTTTGGCCTGAACCTGTTTAATGTAATGTTAAGCATTGCAAATTTGTGCTGAAAAATAAAAATAAAACACGAAGCATGGACCCTGTCGTAAATGTAATTTACTCGTGACCCTCCCAAACAGGGGCTCAGCTGAGGAGGGCGGGGCTCTCAGCCTATATTTTTAGTTTCTCTCCACAGATGAGAGGTTCCCGAAAAAGTTTAAATTCGGCGTGATACGTGCTCACCGAGCTTCGTGTCCCTCGCTTAACAAAATTATGGCTGCGACCCTGCTCTTATATATGGTATGGGGCATACGGGCGTAAATTAATTCACCAGTTCAATAGTAGAGACCCTTCTGATCCACCCCTTGCCCCGGCCAACGAATTTGCCTCCCCACTGGGGTCAGGGTCGGAGCTGCTCCGGTATCCCCTCGACCGGTTCGCCACGTCTTGTAGATTGGATTAGCCACATAAGCTGCCCCCCCCCCCCCTCCCCCCCCCCTCCACCTCGACCGATTTCAGAGTGGCAACCCGGCCATCAGCCAACCAATCTAGTGGGTCACATTTGCACAGCAATAGTAGTAGTAGTAGCGCGCATCGTTGACTAAGTACGGTACATTTTCATTTACCATTAAATGCCTCCGACACCTCCCCCTTGAAGCCGGCAGCCGCAAGCGGTGCACGTTGGCGGAAATGCAGGCTGCTCTAAAATATTTGACGAACATATTACGACGAAAATGTTTCCACCAAAGCTCGATTCGCGCCGTTTTCATGAAGCAAACTTGCTTCCAATTGTGGTATTTAAGTTTAAGCACTCTGTTATCTGACATCGTGCAAAGTGCATGAAAACCATACTGTTCCCATAAATTCATAAGAAATTTAATAATTTTTAACGCTTTGCTTCGGAATGAACTGGTAGTGCCTAATATTGCTGGTTAAACGTTGCATTAGCGCTTCCTGCGAAATTTGCGTTTCCGAAAATTCTCAAAACTTCGCATGAGTTTCCACAACACAAAACAGTTCATTGCGTGCGATTTGGCTTATGTTCAGGCTAAACGAACTATAATCACGGTCACTGCGACTCGATTACAGCGTCATCTTTCCACCGCAAACGCATCATAAAGTGCATACATTTTTGCGTGTATATCGCTGGTGGCAGTACGCTGAGAACTTTGTGGAAATCAAGAAAAAGTCTTTGTAAGAGGACCGTCGCGCCTTATGGTCTCATAAAGTGGCAAACTAGTCTCATATGAAACCATACAGCATGAGGTTTCATCCTTGAGACGTTGCAGCATCCTCCCAAGAGGACTTTCACTGTATGTTCTCAGTAGCAGTTGTTATTGTGCTTCCTACATAGCAATGCACTCTATTAAGATCAGCTCAGCCAATGCGCAACACGCGCGTGGCGTTAACGGCACCGCCGTTTCATGAGTGCACTCCTTACACCTGTCTGATTTCAGATATCCCGAGACGGGGCGGTGATCCCAGCGGAAGCCGACGCGCGGCGGGAGGAGCTCCAGGTGACAGTGGCGGCGACGCCAGAGGTCGGGGAGGCTTTCCAGGCGCCGGCGGCGGCGGCGGTGCCCGAGTGTTTCCCGTTGGAAGGGGTGGCGGCGGCCGAGTGTACCCCACCAGAGGCGGCGGACGGCGCGGCGGCTACCCGTTCATCTTCGCCGGCGGCGGCGGCGGCGGCCGGCGGTACCCTGGTGGCGGAGTCTTCCCATTCCTTGTCGGAGGCGGCAGGCGCGGCGTCAGGGGCGGCGCCGGGGTGCCACGTGTCATACCTGGCGGCGGCGTGTTCCCTTTCCTGGTCGGAGGAGGACGACGAGGGCAACGGGGCGGCCAGTACCCCGTGGTGGTCCGTCGGGGAGGCGGCCGCGGCGGTGGTCAGTACCCCGTCGTCGTCGTTAGGAGAAGAGGCGGCGGTCAGTTTCCGGTCGTGGTGGGAGCGCCCCGGCGGCGTGGTGCCGGCGGCGGCACTGTGTTCGTAAGGCGCGGAGGGGGAGGACCGCCCCCGCGCAGAGGAGGCGGCGGCACCGTGCACGTAGTGCGCGGAGGGGGAGGACCGCCTCCGCGACGAGGAGGCGGCGGTAACGTGCACGTAGTGCGCGGAGTGGGAGGACCGCCCCCGCGCAGAGGAGGCGGCGGTAACGTGTATGTAGTGCGCCAAGGGGGAGCACCGCCTCCGCGGCGAGGAGGCGGCGGCACCGTGTACGTAGTGCGCGGAGGGGGAGCACCGCCTCCGCGGCGAGGAGGCGGGGGCACCGTGTACGTAGTGCGCGGAAGAAGAGCACCGCCCCCGCGGCGAGGAGGCGGCGGCACCGTGTATGTTGTGCACGGAGGGGAAAGACAGCCCCGGCGACGTCGTGGCCTTTCCCCGCGACGTCGGGACAACGACAGCGACGAGGGTCGGGACGACTCGGGCGTCGACGCGGGCGGCAACGACCGACGCGGAGGCTCGGGCGGCAGGGCGACACCACCCGTGAGAGGAAAAAAAACGACAGCAGAACGGCGACGACGGCCGCCGGGGTGACGGCCCCCGAGAAGGCCGCCGGGCCCGTCACCCTGGCGGGGGGATGCACAGCCGCCGCCGGCGCAGCAGTGACCTGCCCCCGCCCTGGTTGGGGGTTGCGCCGTGGCTTAGGCCGTGGGACTGGGCCGGCCGTCTGACGCCTCGCCGTCGCGCTGGTCGGCGCGGCCGGCGCGGCGGCGCGCCCCGGTGGACCTTCGCTGGTCTCAGAAACGCCGGCTTCGGCCTCTACGTGCGTGAGGGAAACGCCAGCTTTTTCGGGCCCAGCGGCAAGGGAAGGTAGGCATCTGGGCGCCGGGTGCGGCGCGACGCGCCCAGTGAGGAGAGTCCCGTCAGTAATGCCTTCTGCGTCAATGTAGATTACATAAATTATTTACAAGCAGGCTGCGTCGTCTTACTCGTTAGTTCTTATGAGAAGAGTACCTTCCATCATTTGTGAGATGTGCCTGTCCACGCTCGGATGAATACATACCTGGACGTTATTTCCTGCTACGCGTCGGTTCTATTATTAAATTATATTATTAAATTATATATATTATTTATTATATTAAATATAGTATATTAAAGGCTCTTCACGAGTTGTTTGGAGTATTTCTGTCAGATGGGGAGAGTAAGTGAGCGAGCGAGCAAAACGAGTGAACAATCATACAGAGCGAGAGCAAATCCGGGCGCGACTGGTTTATTAGTTCGCTCGATATCTTCATGTCAGTTCATTTCGTATATTCGGGAAGGCGTACTGCATCGAGTTCTGGGCCGTTATTATTGCCGGGAGATTATGCAATGGCCGTGTGCGGTCTACGTACCCCCTTAAAAAGCACATAAATGGTTGCCTTGGACGCTAGGGATGGCTATTGATGAAGTAACCGTGCACGTCATTTTTAAAGGGGGGGGGGGATAACCTTATGCGGGAATCAGCGGTGTTAAAGCTGAAGCTTCAGGTGGAAACACCCAAAGGAGGAATTCAACTTGTATTTCTATTTACAAGGAGATAAACAAAAATGGATATGTTTTGTGACTTCTCAAATAACCCTAGGCTCGGCATCACAACAGAGCGATCCTGTTGAGTGACAGCTCAACGCGGTACGCATCCTGCCGAGAAAGAAAAGTGTGGTGGTGCACGGCATTTGAATCAATACAATTAGAAATTGAGACTTCTCACTACATGTGATTTCCATGCATACTTTATGCTCTTTCGGATTTCCCATGCTGCGACCACTATTTCAGCGCGGGGCTTTGTACCTCGGCGAAGATAGTCTTGGGAAGGGTGGAAAAGCCGTTGGTTACAAATTATCGTTGTGTATATCAATCCACGTTGTTAGTGTGGGTGGCGTGGGCTTGCTCTGTTGCGGGCCACTGGACGGGGTGTTGACGACTCCTTGAAGGCCTCGATTCGGTAAGCATTATGAGCTTGGAATCGGTGTGCTTGCATGATACGCAGTGAACAAATGCTGTGATTTTTTGTGCGTGCATATGACCTTACCTCTTGAATACATAACTGCGCAATGTTTGCCTCACAGCCTCCATTGCCCCTACAAGACGGCTCACATTGCGGCGAGCATTTTATTTTATTTCAGTGGTCTGGGTTTTGATAACCTTGTGGCCCTGGTGTATGTGTTTATCTACTCCTCCCGATGGTGTCCCGTTTGGCAAAATAGCGACTTCAGAAGGGTACTAAGCTGCGTCAGCAGATGTCTGAAATTGTATTCTCCGCCAGCTTACATTAGCCAAACATCACTTGTTTACTTTATTTGCCGTCACCTTTGAACACTTACCAAGAATTTGTTTTAAGTAATTATTAAGTGCTAAGTGCAGCTATGTGTTGATTTTAAAGAATATTTTGCGTTTTATTAGAAATTAATCCTATACCATAAAAGTACTAAAACGTCTAAGATGCAGATGTACACCAAACTAAGCACGTGCTTCTCTTTTTTAATAATGACGCAGGACAGACATTTGGCACATTTACCATAAGTTCTGTCCATTTCCATAATGAAGATACAGATGTGGAGGCGAATGAGCGACGAGCGTCTTATGAAGTTTTTATGTTTCTTGTTGCTGTTTTTTCATATAGGGCATACACAGGCCACGGACAAAGTTCCAACTGCGGAGGCAGCCCGAATATAAAAATACACGATACACACACAACCAAAAGCCCCAACCACACACGCGCGCGCACATACATTACACACAGCCACACATGCGTCTTACACACACAGACTCAGTCATCAAAAGAACGCCTCACGGGTGCCGGCGAGCTTAAACTAATCAGATCGGAACGATTTTGTTTACCGGAAAAAGTCAGTTGAGGGAGAATGCTGTAGAAAAGGATTGCAGGCAGCAGGAAGACACGTGAAGAATCCATTCTTGACCGTGTTGACCCCTGCAAATGGTGTGTGGAAAAGGCCGGCATACCGAGAGCGCCTGCCGAATGCAGCCAGAACAAACGTTGATGTCGGGTGACCGCATTCAAGCCCGTGATGATATACTTTACATATAGATAAGATGACAGATTGATCAGTGTGCCGGGTGCGGCTGAATCCTTTTCATTTCCTCGCCACTCAAGAGCACTTCCAAGTATTGTGTGACGTGTAAACGGGGTGAATGTGTGTGTGAGTATGCATGCATATTTTTCTTGATTTTGGACGGTTGAGCCAGACTTGTTAGCCAATCCTTTATCAGAATGAATCACTGGTTTCTGCCTTGAGTTTTTGTGGGCCTCATTTTTTGACATCACTTAGTTTGGGCACGTCAGATGCATGTGTGATACGGATATTGAAAGTGAGAAACAGGGTTCTGGCATTGTTCTAGAGCTTTCATTCCTGTTAAAAGTTTAGCGATGTGCAGAGACCAAGTACTAGCAGTCAGTCTAACGTATCTGAGAGTTTGGACCACACCACATGACGAAGTGATTTCAGCTACAGTCTTTTTGAAACGTGATGTCAGAATAAGCTCAGATTTTTAATAAATATGTCAACATTGTCAACTGAAAAGAAGTCACTCAAAATTGTGTACTAAGTACTGTTGTTACCTGGAATATACAAACTGTATGCCAATTATCGCCAATCCTCTTGTCCCGCATTTAACCGAAACGATATAGTTTAACCCGTCCTCAGACCATTGCTGGAATTATTCACAAGTAGGCATGATGCAAGATGCTGCGCCTGCAACGAGAGCATTGTTTTGCAAGACTATGGCCCCGTTAAGTTTGGGGGGGGGCCTTGCCACTAAAAAACAACGGAGCCTACCCCCGAGATATTCCAACAAATGGGTTACTTCCCAGATTTCGCCCAGGTTGTTCTCAAATCAGGGGAGGGGGTGCATAAGTTGGTAGCCAAAATCTCCCCTCCCTCTGCTGAAAAGAAATTACAAACCCGTTTTGCAATAGAACCAACGATGTCGTTTTTGTTATAAGGCGTGAGAATGCTACAAAGGTGGGTGTACTGAACTACTTGTTGAAGATTATCAAGTGTCTACCTGACCCTGTATCACTTAGTCCGTCCCGACGACTCAGTTGGTTAGTGCGCCTGCCTTCTGGTCCACACACCCGTGGCGGGTTGCGTTCGAGTAGGTTTTGGCGGTCGCTATTTCATTTTGACAGGCATGGCCTACAGCCGATGGCAGAGGTTACGCGAAAGGTCAGGTGACGTTAGAGAGCAGGACAGATCGTGTTGAGCATTGCCGCACGTTAAACTTTCAGTCATCAAATTCTGTCGTTGACGTGAACTTGCGCAATCGGACGGTACGGCTCAGGGCTCACACAACAAGTACTGCTTGGCGTGAGCTCCGATCCCAGAATTCTATCCCCCGAAAAGTTCGGGTTAAAGCTTTCAAAAAGAAATGCTAATGCAGTGGCATGACTGTTGACCGTTTGAAAAGAAGCTGGGCGAAATCTGGGGAGTAGCCGATTTGTTGGAATATCTTGGGGATAGGCTCTGCTGTTTGCTCAGTGCACAGCCTCCCTCCCAACTTTCACAGGGACATAGTTTTTCAAAACGATACCCTCGTTGCAGGCACATTATCTTGCATCATGTTAGCTTGTGAAAAATTACAAATTAAATGGTGGTTTCCGAACACTGTGCTGAATGCACTTGATGGGAGGATCACATGCACGCTAGGAACCACAATAGATGCTCGAATATTGTCATAATTACAGACGAAAGTACACAAAATGCGTGTGAATGGCATCCAACACTGGTCGTGCTTTGTTCCGTTTCTCAGTATCCACAGCCATCCAATGAGCCATTGGGGCTGGTCACCACTACACCTGATAACAATATCACAGAGCGCCGCAAACGAACACCACCGCAACCGGTCAGCGGTAACCAAAATCGGCTGCAGAACCTGTGAAACTGTGCACCACACAACTACACAGCCAGCGGTCATAACTGAGCCAAGCCCATCCGCATCGTACAGCTGCAGAACAACGCGTTCTGTTAAACGACAAGGATCATACCAACTGAAAGGTGCTACGGAATTTTCCCAGGTTGGAGGCTGGGCAGCCCTTCTTGATTGGTTTACAGTCAACATTCATGGTAGCAATGTTACATGTTCTTAAAATTGGGGCTGAGACGCCTTGGCCCTTGCTCTCCTTCCCTCTTACCCACCCTAATTCCTGGGAACCTGTCCACTGATGCATTCAGCAATGTGATACACCAACTTTTATTTAATCCATGGGTATGCTGATCCACACAGCTCAGTGGAGCGAAAGCATCCGCAGAAAATGTTTGCTGACCCCAGAGCACGTTCCAACACATTCCAGCGCCATCGCTTAGGATCACTCAGCAAGGAACGATCATTCAGCTACTCATTCATTATGGGTAGTCATATGGTTCGTTCATGGCAGCATCCGTGGCTCCTGACGTCTACGAAGCAGCCCGTACTGGGGTGCGCGATTAGCCCCGGCCGCCCTCGTCGCACATCACGATACTTCTCCGTAGCGAGGCTTCACCAGCTCAGGTGCGTGAAACTTAGCAGCGGCAATGAATGTGCGGCTCTCGACGAGGCATAGAGACATCGCAGCGAAGGCCCCGTCGGCGAGGCGTGCGCAACGCCAGCGCATCGCTGCACCTTATCGAGATGGGCGCTCAGCAGGACACTGGCACACATCGTGGTCCCTTCGGCGCCGCACACGAATCCGCGCAAGCACGCATTCAGCGGTCTTAAGCCTCTGCAACACCGCCACCGAGGCGGCGGGAGGACCGTCGGGCGGACGGGGCTGGCGGCGAGGGGTGACAGCTTAGCTACGTCGGTGGGGCGCACCCAGCTAAGCCAGGCTGGTGGGCCGCACCGCGCGCTGGTAAAGCGCGTTGGAGAACAGGGACCAGGGCAAGCTACCGCTGACTTCCGCCGAACTGGGCCGACCAGAACCAGACAGGCGCCAGCGGTGCAGCTGGTGGTCACGCTCCCACAACCAGGCACACGTCGACCGTTGAAAGCTGACGAGATCTAAAACTCCCCCACACCTTAGCATGGACTTCTGAACATGCATGGTCATTTTCAGTTCACGTGCGAAACAGCTGGCTTATTGCCAGCGCAGTGGCTTAACAGGCCTTTGCATATGTATAGAGCAGGGACAACAAACAAACGCACAGCGCAGGGAGGCATAACAGCTTTAAAACAGCTAGTTCCTTGCCTCATTGCTGTGCAGTGACCAGGAGCGTGCAATGGATATCTGTGGGGAGCGGTCCGACCTTGAGGTGTATCTAGAAGAACGCTCGTGACCCCTCTGGGCAGTAGCATCTGAAGACCTTCACATGTTTGCTATCTTTTCTCGATGCCCGGTTTGCGTGTCATAGTGATTGATGTGAAATGCTCTATTCCCTGGCACTCATTCATTCTTAACCGAGTGCAATGGGCCAACAGAGCTTTGCATGCAGATGACATGCAAAGATCAAACATCTCGGAGTGTCGTTCGGGTGGCAGGTCATTTAAAACCCTATCCGTTGATGTACAGTTTGTGGCAGTTATATGGATATTAAAAAAGTGAGCATAACGTGCACCATTGCCATGCTTCAGTAAAACACCAAACTTATATCGATATGTTTAATGTGACTTTAAGAGAGCTTCAATTATTTACAGTGAACTTACTTGATAATATAATTACCAATGTTTGTCATGCTGTCCTCTTCATGTTTGTCTCAACTGGTCATGGGAGGGAACCAGGTTTCAGATAGGGTGGATGTACACCTGGAGTGGATCATTTCAGTTATATGTTATAAGGTTTGCAAACAACACAAAATGAATACATCTGTATCACAGATATAGTGCATAACAATGCCACCGAAATTGGGGAATAAACAACGTCGGGGTAGCAGCTAAATCATAGAGGGAACCAGCTAAAGTGAGAATGATGTTTTGAAAGGGGAAACATGACTAGCGCCTATCCATGGGTAACTTGGTGCACATAAAATGGCAGGTGAAAATGACAGGTCCCGCTCCATCCCACCAGTAGTTACACAAAAGGCAGCAGAGATGATATTCCCACATAATCACTGTCACAGTCAATGATATTGACCCAGACCATTTGACAAACCAAACTGAGCATTAAAAGCACAGATTGAACAGTGCTTCTTAAATATCTCTGTCCGCAGCGCAAGTTAAGTCGTCCTCTGGCAATGCAAACAG